GCTAATATGCTAATATGCTAATATGCTAATATGCTAAAGGTGGATTAAATCTACAGCCATGTGTGTGTGAGGCCTTTCTGCTGTGACAATAATCCCTGATGTGACTGCAGAGAGAGACTGAGTGGACTGGTCACACAGGGACCAGAGAGACCGAGCGGACGGGTCACACAGGGACCAGAGAGACCGGGCGGACGGGTCACACAGGGACCAGAGAGACCGAGCGGACGGGTCACACAGGGACCAGAGAGACCGAGCGGACGAGCAGAGAAGCTGAAGCAGATTGAGGAGGACTTCAGGTGTAAAGGACTGACACAGAGGGACAGGTGAGTGCAACAACACACTTGGTGTGTGTGTGCGTGCATGTTGCGCAATGTGTAAAAACTGCTTGTTTGTGTGTGTGTGGCTGCAGCTGCTGTATTGTGTCTCTGTGTTGTTGCTTGTGGTGACGTTTTCTTCTGCTGTTGATTCTATGAGAAGTGGAGGCTGTTTTAATTCATGTTGCTTCATTTGGGTCGTTGCACCCGCCGCGGTGTCCAGTTTGTTTTTGTTTGTTTTTGAGTTTGGTCTCTTTTCTGGTTAATTCTAGCGAGAGGCTGTTGCTTATTTTAAAAAGGATAATCAGTTGTATGCACAGGCTGCAAAGCCTGTCAATAGAAATGCATTTAATTGGTTTGGTTTGGACATCAGAGCTCTGTGGTGAAATGTTTACATACAGAATGTTGACATGTCAAAGAAATGACGAAAAAACCCCATTATTGTTTAATAAATGACTGACTTTAGTCTGTGTGTGTGTGTGTGTGTGTGTGTGTGTGTGTGTCCATGTGCCAACAGGGATCAGTCATGACTGGCACATCCACGGCTTGCAAAGATCTCCCTGAAGGATCTCTATTAATATCACTCCTCCACAGCCACGAGGAAGTGTGTGTGTGTGTGTGTGTGTGTGTGTGTGTGTTCAGATATATCTGCCAGTCATGCTGCAGTCTGTAAAGGACGGGAAATATGTAAAATGGAAATGAGACAGACTGAGACTGAAGGTCACCTGCTGCTTGTTATCTGCCATCTGATGTTGCTGCTGCAGCATCTCAGCTCTTCACTGTCATCCTCAACTGGTTCCTCAGCTCTGCTACTTGTGCTGGAACTCTCCTCACACACTGGCTTTTTTGGTTTTGTCTTTTTGTTAAAAAAAAATCTCTCTTCACGGATTCACCGCCTGAATACAGTACCGGCTCTGGGGATTCAGCTGCAGCAGTGGCTCTGACTCCCATCCGCTCTCTTCAGGAACGAGAGGGTTGTCTGTTATTGTAGTTGTCATCAGAGCAGCGAGACTGTATAAGAGATGCTGGTGCGATGGGAGGAGGAGTTTGGCTAAACTAGACGGCGGCGGTGACTGAAGTCATCCACGATTTGTCCCAGAGTGGACACCATGTGGACTGGGCATGCTAAGTGGACCCACAGCGCATTGCAATACATAATTAATTTGCGCACTGCTGCTGTGACATGCAAATGTAGGTAATGTATATATGTTAAGGTGCTATTTCTTTCCTCTTGAAACCTTTGCAAAGCAGTTTTTTTTTTAAATTTTTTTTTAAAGTGTTTCAAGTTCAGCATTGTTTGCATTCAAGTCTCTTGCAGCCTTCTTCATCCCTGACTTCATTTTGACGCGTTACCGCCACCTGTTGATCAGTGGAATAGTGTGTATTGCGTTGCATGTATGACCCTCTCATAGTGCTACTGGTCTAAAACTCCACGGGGAATCTTTAGGAGTACAACATCCAAGTGTTTTGTCTTTAAAAAACAAATCAAGTTTCCATAGCACATGAAAAACCCATAATGCAATGGTTTGCTTTTCGCTGTGCAAATTACAGTTCTGTGACATTTTACAAGTCAGGAAGATGGAAATGATGCAGAGTGTCCATGCAGACAGAGCTTAGCAGCAAACACACACGAGCAGCCACTGTGTCATCTCCATCCACATCCCCTGCGCTACTTTTAGCCCTAATGGAGGCCGTGGAGTGGACAGCTGGGACGGGGTGCAGCCTGTGCCATGTGAAACACTCGTTTACTGCCACAGTCATTGATTCCTTCACATGATTAATCGCCTAATCACAGGCTTTAGGTCTAATTAGTTTATAAGAGGTGCAGTCTGGACAGTAAACCCACCACGCGGCATCTGTTCTGTTAGAACCACAAAACATGCACTCGGATAACTGAGAGAAGTGAAAGCCTCTCGAGTCTCTTCAATCTGTGTTAACATTATGAGGTTTGTCCTCACTCTGGAGCTCTCAAACACACGTGTTGATGAAGGCCTCTGTCATGTCTGCAGCCGTCTCCTCCTAAGAGGACTCATGTCGTGATGCTGCCCCCTGCTGGTCATCAGGTTGCATTACATCGACAGAGCCAGAAAAACTCCCTCTGACAACTCGTGGCAAATTCCTCTAGATTAAAAAATTCAACTGAATGTAATGTTTTAATGACCATTGATGAGATTTGCTACTATTAAAGCCTGTCCCAGCATGCATTGGGAGAAAAACAGGAATGCACTCTTAAAGTTAAAATGCTCCAATCTACCTGACTTCTTTGTTTTGATATTGTCATTGAATCTGAATATTGATGATGCATATTCTGCTATTATTATTATTATTGTTATCATACTGACATTTAATGACAGCAGATCAACACTCTTCATATTTATTGTTTGTCACTTTGGTTTAACTTTCTACAGGTGCATTAGCTCGCGAGTGCAACATTGTCAGGCAGCCGACTCCTATATCTGAGATTTCAGCTGTAACTTGAACCCACCACCAGTCAGTCAAATATGTTTGAGATGCTTTTTAAAAAAATTGATTTTAGAAAATAACACAACATACAGCAGTTATGGTTTTTATGGTGCCAAAATAACTGAAAATGTTCCGTTAAAAAATGAGATTTTTGGAGCTTAAAATGCAAAAAGAACCCTGTGGTTGAGAGCTACATTTTCCTATTGAACACAACAGTATAATTTACATGATTTCAACATCGCCTCACCTGACATGATTTGGGCTGTTGAGGTTCATTTCTGTGTATTTAATGGCTTTTTTGGACTGTAAACTGCAGACCCACACAAGCATTTTCAAAAACGAAGCATGAAGCTGTGAAAACGCCATGAAGCCCAAACAGTGTTGTCGCCATGTCTTCCTCACCTCACAGTGTTGTTGGCAGCGTCGGGGTCCCTCGCTGACACCGCCTTCACCACGGTGCCGATCTCGGCGTCCTCTGACAGCTCCACGTAGTACACCGGCATGTCAAAGAGCGGGGGCTCGTCCACGTCCTCCACGCTCACGTGCACGATGGTGACGTCCTTGAAGGGCCCGCGGTGGCGGTAGGCCGGGTCCAGGTGGGTGTTGGCGCCCTCCACCTTCAGAGTATAACTGGGCTTGCTCTCAAAGTTCAGCGGCTGGAGCGGGAACACGAATAAAACCGTTATACAGACGAAACGTGTCATGGTCACTGAAGTTCTGCTGAAGTTTTTAACACAAGTTGGCAGATAATAAATCCTAAGTTCTAAGAGTTAAACATACAATAAAGAGACATGAATGAACAAATAATACAGGATCTTATCTCTCATATGTGACTTGTAACACAGCTATAAATAGTTTTATATATTCTTTATCGGTTCATCGTTGTACCCTTTTCACTGTGATGATGCCGAAGAGGTTGGTGGGGTCGGTGCTGATGTCAAATGTGTCCCTTCCATCTCCATCGATGATGCTGTACTCCATCTGAGCGTTGACCCCGACGTCCCTGTCCTTCGCCCAGATGCGCCCCACCACTGAGCCCACAGGAGCCGCCTCTGCGATGCTCATCTGATACAACCCTGAGGAAATAAACAAAGGGTGATCGTCCCTTTTCTATCCTCTAGAGGGAACCAAACCCTCTTCCATCACCTTTCACCGCCGCTCTCTCCTCTCAAAAAAATCACATCTCAGACAGCTTAAAATAAATGGCTCCATAAACGCCTCACAATTGGGTTATATACCGTCTCGTGGGTTGGCTTCAATTTCATCTACCATTTAACCTCAAAGAAGAGGTGACAGCTGCCCAATTTGTGGCGCTCCCTGCAGTCCAAAGTGAAATGCCTGCACATTGCGCTCGACAGAGGGGAATCCCTGAAGCTCTTCACAACCGATCAAAGTTTCATCGAAGTGATGGCACTAATTGGTCAGGGGGACCAGTGATGGAAGTGGGCGGTGGGTGTTTTCTTTGTCTCGGTGTGGAGCCACCCGTCGGCCTGGAAGAGATGACCGCGGACAACTAGACAACCTTCCTGACCTCAGGAGGACGGTAATGAGAGGAGCTGAAATGGTGATAATCAAAGAGACAGCATGGGGCGACTGGTGGCTGAGCGGTGGGAGGGAGGAGGCCAGGGGGTAAATGGCCAGGGACTGGTGGCTCCAAGTGGACAGAGATAGAAGGGGGCAGACGGGCTAATGGCTCGGATGCTCCAGAGAAATGAGGGGGATAGATGTGGGGTTTAGGGGGCTGATGCTCATCCATACAAAACGGTAAACTCGTGTCGTTTGTGTGATACGAGCGTTGGAACACATGGCTTCCACATGCTGCAGTTTCCATGTTCTATTGACACACAAGCAGACATGTGCAGCTGGCAAATCACGAGTCCAGCATCAGTAACGGCGTGTTGCTTTTATAATGAAAGTGAACTGTAGCGTTATTTAAGAGCTTTTGAGACTTTAAACTGATATTTGGTTAGTCCTTTTAAGGTGCTCTATTAAACATTCATTCAGGAAGTAGCGCTCCCTCTGTCTGTGTGTGTGTGTGTGTGTGTGTTGTATACAAGCATCTCTGTGCTTTGTTGACATAGCCACTCTGACCGTGCATGTCTTATTAGGGCATGCGAGTCTCTGTAAGCAGGCCCAAGTGTGTTCGCTCATGAGCAAAGTGAACAAAGGGAAAATAAAGAGAAGAAGAGAATAAGACAGCAGTGCGGTGAGGAGGAACTGTTGTGCGGTCTCTTACTCTGGTCAAACATGGGCGGGTTGTCGTTGATGTCTCCGAGCGTGATGTTGACAGTGGTGGTACCGGCGAGCCCCCCCAGCTGGCCGCCCATGTCCTTGGCCTGAATCACCACAGTGTAGTTTTCTCTGGTCTCCCTGTCCATGTCTGCCAGGGACACACGGACCACGCCTGAGGAGAGAGAGAGAGGGAGAGAGAGGGGGTAAGAAGGGGCAAACAAAGACACATGAGGTGAATTAAAGGTCAGCAACAGGGAGCTGGTGACACAGATTAGGGTCATGTGTCCGAGCGATGGCGTCCTGGAATGTCAGTGCTCTCAACGGACCCGACAAGAGGCTGCATGAGTGATTCTATAATCAAACTATAGTCGCTCTATTCTACTTTACAAATCATGATTTTAATCACATGGGTTACCAGGCAATGTGGTTTAAACACGACTTAAGTATGAGAGAAACATCTCATTCAACCCATGTTTGTATGATTTTAGTTGCATTAACTAATGTTTTGCACCTTTTAGTTTTGCACCTTTTAGTTCCTTTAGTGTGAGATTTCCTGAATATTTTTTTAGCCACTTTTGTCCAACCAAACTTTGTTCGACATTAACAACCACACCAGGAGTTAATAGGGCAATTATCTTGTGTTTGGGATTAAATATTTGAGATTCTTGGCTCAAATAGCAGCATTTCTGCAGGTGAAACCATTATTATATACACGTCTGACAAAAAAACAGAAGAAGAGCAGCTTCAAGACTCAATAATGGTTGGACAGTAGAGGATTTGTGAAATTCAAACACATACAATCTGTAGACTTTGCACACTAAGCAGACTGTTGCAGTGAACGTAACCTGCCTTAACTTGGTGCTTAACCTTCAAAGACGTGTTTTGCACGTTTTCTCTGTATTTTGTATTGTTCACCCGACGCATTGATACACAGACAGTTTTGCCAGATGCAGCAGAATCCAACTAAGGTCAAGTGATGTTTCTTTCTGCTGAGGAGTAAGGAAAGGAGCGCTTCTGTGGGTTTTGAGCAGTATGTGGTTAAGTCCTGCATTGTGTTCGCACCAATAACAGCCTGGGTGCTTTACAGGCTGATGGCTGTAGAGCCACTTGTGTTTCAGTGATGGATGAACCTACAGCAGCAGCAGCGGTCTGACCGGCTGCTGATGGGCAGCGCAGCCTGAGAGGATTGGCAACTGATTTCTGTGCTGACAAACGAAATGAGGCAGCTGTGGTTAAATAACACGTGGCTCCCTGCTCTGAAGAATCTTAATGTATTGATGGTAGCGCTAGTTTGAGTTATGAACGCTGTTACCATGTGCTGCAGTTTTGCAGCGAGATATTACAGCGTGAGAAGTTTTAGCTTATTATCTACACGTTTTATATTCTTTATTTACATCTTGCTTGATTTTTTTTTTTTTTTTTTTTTTTTTTTTTTTTTTTTTTTTTTTTTTTTACAAGCTACAATATGCATTTAAAGGATATATCCGGGATGTGAAACTGCTTCGTTAGCCAAAACACGTTAAAAAAACGCCGACAGCGGCTTGCTAGCGTAGCATAGTGCTTACGCAAGTGCTAGCGTACTCTGCTAATGTTAGCTCCACAGGCTTTTACGTAGAAACACAATGTTTTAGAAACTTATATCTGCTTCCAACCTCTCTAGGTGATGAGTATCACAATTACACAACTTTTAATCATCTGAGCTTCAAATCAACTAAACCAGCCATGAATTATTTATCTTTTTATCATTTTTGGATATCATCTCTTGTTGTCATTTCTTGGGATATTTTTTTAAACAAACGTTTTTTTTTTCAGTTATTCCGTTGCCTCGTATATTTTTTCAGGGATGCACTTATTCACTTTCCTCATGTTTGTACATGAAGCTAGAGACAAGATTGGGTACTTAGCTTAGCACAGAGACAGAAAGCAGGAAGGAACAGTTAGCTTGGCCTTTAAGTAAACAAAGAAATTTGATGCACCATGTGAATTACTGAGCTGTTGATATTTTTTACTTTGGACAGAGCCAAGCTAGCTGTTTGGTCCTGCTTTATGCTAAGCTAATGGCCTACTGTTTCCAGCATAGAGAAATTAAAATGGTATTAGTCTTTTTGTCTAACTCTCAACAAGAAAGCAAATAAGCTTATGTTGATATAAAGTTAATCATTACAGCAATGATGGCTAAATATTTGGTTTGTAGTACTCCATCATTGTTAATATAAAGCCAAACGGATCTATTTTCAGGGGATTAAACCTCTGAGGGCCCGTCTGTCTCATTCTGTCATTTTCATCAAAGAAGTTTAGCACACAAATTGTTTTTATTTTTCTGTCGAGTGCCAGGAGTTTGAGTTATTGCTAGTTGCCGTGTTTCAGACAAGTGTTGGCTTGTCTCGTAGCAACAACGGGAGCCACGCTGAGCTTCCCACATTCAGAGCCGGTAAAATGCACAAGGGGCGTCAAAGTATGGACTGCTAAAATCAGACCGTGGTGGCAATGACGGTGTTAGAAACGAGGTTGTGAATTAGCAGTAGCTGTCAGCAGAGTGTTAACCGTCAATGGTGGTAGTAGTTCATGTGGAGCTCGGAAAGTGGCTAAAGTGGCAGGCGAATAGTGACATCAATCAGCGTCTACATGTAATGCATCGAAAGGCACGGACAGCGTGGTTACAGATTGAGAGGTCGTACCGGTCTTGGCGTCCACTGAGAAGTAAGGCTGGCCCTCCACGATGCTGTAGACCACGCGAGCGCTGTTGCCGTACGTGGGGTCGTCGGCGTCGGTAGCGGTCAGCTGGATCACAGATGTTCCTGGGTTGTAGATGAAGAGGAGGAAAAAGAGAGGCCATTATCAACATGTGAATCAAAAGAAATAATATGGGTGGAGTATTTTTTATTTTTTTTTCCATCAGCTACTTCAAAGTAACCACAAAATGTTGGTTTATGAATAGTGAATGAAGCAGATTGGAGCCTGATAGAACAAACAATAACTCTGCAGGGCTGTTATGTACTTTGGTGTTGTTCACCGACGGCTGCAGCCACTCCCTTTTAAAAACAAACAAACACCGCAGACATGCACAGGCAGTTTAGTTTCTGCCTCCTCTTTATCCCTCCCCCACGCCTGCTCACCTATTTTGGACATTTCGGGCACAGACGCCTCGTAGGGCCCGTCCAGAAACCTGGGCTCGTTGTCGTTGATGTCCTGGATCTTCACAATGAACTGCGACTCGGGCTCCAGAGGCCGGTCCGTCAGGCGGTTGCGGGCCTGGGCGCGAAGGGCGTACTGGGCTTTCACCTCACGGTCCAGCCTCTGGATGGCGTGGATGTCCCCTGTGCCGTCGTCGATGGTGAAGGTGGTGCCCGCGCCCTCGCCCGTCAGGATGTACTTAATGGAGCCGTCGCCTTTATCCATATCTGAGTGGAGCTGTGGAGATGTCAGCCCAGAAAAACGTTTTATTCCACAAAGCATATTCTCAAGGAAAATATCCACTTTTTATGTGTTATTTTAGAGACAGCTCGAGGGTTTTGTAAGTAGCTAAAAATGTTTAAATCTGTGCCCAAACTCCTGGTAAAAAGAAAAATCACGACTGCATCAACAACGCATGAATGTAACAGTGATCACAAGTTGGGGAATATAACACACATGGTTCACTCCAGAATATTAGGACAGCGGCAGCATTTTGAGGACATTTAATTGGGTCACATCCCCTAATTTTAGAACAATGCAGCAGCCCAGTGATCCACAACAATAGAGACCAGACAACCAGTGGAAAGTTCTTGTGTCCAAATCAATCACATGATCTGAATCCAACTAAAAATGTGTCAGTGACGTTGGTTGCTATACAGGAGCATTATACCAAGTGTCTACACTACAGAATCTACAATTATGATATTTATCAACGATAATAATGCAAATCAGTCTTTGGTTGCAGAGAACGCTGCTTTTATCTGTTTTATATCATTGTAATCGAATATCTTTTGGAGAGTTGGTCAGAAAAAAATAAGAAATTTGAAGACATCAGAAAGCTATGTGACGAGTTACTCAATTAATTAGTATTCATGACAACTTTTTATATTTATTAGTAGACATTGTAAACATGAGTTTATGGTCTCAATCTCTAGTTTCAAGTCTTCTTCAATACAGCATGATGTTCATTTAGTACATTATGGTCCATTTAGAGTCAAACAGACCATAAAGCAGGGGATGCTTTAGGGCGGGGCTACTGTGATTGACAGGTTTCTACCACAGCGTTGTCCGGTCTGAGAGTTGTCTGTCTTTAACCCTTTCACATCGAGTTTTCACTTCATGAAAGTTAATTGTAACATTTTCTGGCGCCTACAAAGTTGTATTCAGCATTTGTTTCCACTTGGATCCATCCTCTTGTCACTTCTGGTTCCAAAAAAAACATGAATGCAGTTTAGTTGTATGTGAACATAGTTTTGTAGTAAACAGGTTTACAGCATAGCAGTTATTTCTGCTGGAGTTCAGAGTCAACAATACGACGAAAATGTGCCACAGGTCTAAAACGTGACATTTCTATTCATTCAATAAGCTACAACCCAGATTTTCAATTAATGTTTATTGTGCTTGATTACACAAAAGTACAAAACAATCTAAGTCAACATAGTGGTGTGTGTGTGTGTGTGTGTGGGTGTGTGTACATTAATACTATAAGGAGCCATCTAATTGTTGCCAGTGTAAACGCCAGCCTGTTGATGTGCAATCACTCCTCACTTTGTGCTTTAAGGGTCTCTGCATACGACGAGTACTTACTGCGAATTAAATGCCCCCATTGATGTCTTATCTGGTATATAAGAAACAGGCGAACACACAGCACAGAGCCCCGCCCCCCCCCCCCCCCCCCCCCCCCGCTGACTCTGAAATCACTTTCTCAAGCTGCTTGGCCTTTCCCCCGCTGTCTGGGGGCCACTAAGTGAAATGACCAAGCGCGAGGTTGTGGAACTGCTAAAAGTTTGCAGCTACAGCACTCAATGTTGTTGTTGTTGTTATTGCTGCCGATAGTTCAGCAGCAATCTTCACATTACCCATCATCCCCCCCCCTCCCCTTCTGAAAGCAGCCAGACGCTTCAGCTCTTCTTATCTCTCTCGGACAACGTGCCCACCTGCACTCTCTCCTGGAAAGAAAAGTGCCGAGCTCGGGGCCTGGAGAATATATATTTTTAATCAACAACCCCATTGTGGGCTTCAGCCCTTCGTGTCTCGTGGTGATATATCTCGCACCGGTGCCTTTTCCTTCTCCTGCACTGATCCTTCCTTTACACTCAAACCTATGAAAAGAGTTTGACACTCGGGCTATCAATTACCTGCTCCGTCTCCGCCAGAGAGCCCAATACCTCCATCATTTCCCCCCCCCCCCCCCCCACCACATGGCTCTGAATACTAAGCTCCTCAACAGGAAGAGTGGCAAGGTAGGCTGAGCTGAGAATAAAAACCTACAGAGCATGTCTCCCCCCCACCCCCCTGCTTTGCCGGACTTGTTACTCTTCTATCTGGTCCGAGAGCATGACTTTTAGGAATCCGCCCCCCCCCCTCCCAAGTATTCCCAAGCGGTGGAGGGGAAGTTATTTCAGAAGACTAATTAGGCATGTTTGAAGCAGGATTTTAAAAGTCGACGAGGAATTCTGAGGCAATCGCAAATTCAACCAAAGGTCTGGAATCTGTCTTTTAAGAAGCATCTTTGTGAAGAGAGTATCATTAATGGTTTGAAAATGGGACCAAATTACTCGCTTTTTTATTAATAATTTTGTGAATAAATGTCAGTCAGTTTTCCACTACTGAAGAAAGTGACATATATATTAAATGGAAGGATATTTATGGTGTCAATGGGGTCGCTCTCTGGCTCAAACACTGTACACATAGGACCACTTTGTCTTGTTTGAAGTGACGTAATGGCAATTTTCACGGCAGTTTGCAGGACTGTTGTCTCCCTCGATGATGACTGGCCTTACAACTATTGATCAAATGTTCAATTCACTTTAGCGACTGAGCGATCAAAGTGCTCCTCTGCGAATCTCCCTCGCCCTCTCCTTTCAGAGCATGTCGGTCGCGTTGCAGACGGAGGAGGAACGACTGAGTGAAGCCTCGGTTCGAGTCAATTAACTCGATCACTGCTGTCTGGCTCCGGTTCAAAGTGGACAGAGGAGAGGCTGTTTCATGGACGCAGTGCATCCTGGGATTACGTTGGGATTTTTCTTGTGTGTGTGTTGTGGCTGAAGTTCCCCCTCTGCCCACTCATGATCTTCTCTTTTGCACCTCCGCTATACAAGCAGCAGATGACCTGCAGGCTGCCGAGCTCCCCTGCAGATGTGATAGTTTGCCGTGGTTGAGATCTCTTTAAAAAATAATTACGTACACCAAGTGGAAAGGTCATGCACAAAAGATGCCCCCCCCCCCGGCTCCCTTTGCATTCCTCCAGTTTAAACCTCCGAGTGCTCGTTCTGACCGTACAGCATGTAGGCAACACTGACCTTTCCAATATAAAGCGGTTCCAGTCCGGTGTACTCCTCCAGGACAAAGAACTGGTTCCACACCCAGCCCCTCTTCACCCTTTGGAGCGGCGCTGACCTACCAGCGTTCCCCTCCTCCGCTGGCTCACCCACAAGGCCGTGGGGCAGCAGGGTCAAGATGCAGAGGGCCACGGGGAGCAAGGAGCTGGCAACTGCTGGAGGATTCCGGCCTCCCATTGTTGAGCACAGAGTCGTATTTGAAAATCCTCTTTCTTCAGGAGTGCAGTTGTTTCCTGGTTCTTTCTTTTCTTCTGGCTACTGTCGCCGTCCTGGAAGAGAAAAGAAGAAGACAGATTAGTCTCATATTTATGTCCTTTTGGACGCTGTTGTTCTTTTGTGGTGTACTGAGCCCCGGTGTGTGTTGCTCTGTGGGATGCCTGCAGATGAAGACGTATTCAGTCTTTTCTCCTGCCTCCAGATTAGCCCTCTACTACTGAGTTTTTGTTGAGTTCATAATGAGCCTCATCGCAGCGGAATGACGGGGCTCCCGATGAGGCCAGGAGGAGGAGGAGAGGAAGGACATGTATCGAAGAAGGTGAAGAAGGGGACGGTAGGTATAACACTCGCATCATGCTGCCGCTGAGAGACGTACAGTAAATATAAAGGAGAAGACGGGACTCCAAAGTGTGTAACTGTAACTGTGGTTCATACAGGGAGTCATGTGTTGTGACTATTTCAGCCACGATAGTCTTAATTAGTTTCGTTCGTTTTTAACTTATACATCTCTAATGCACTCACAAAAAAAAAGAAAAAAACTAGTCATTAGTTTTGAAATGGTGACAAAACAAAGGAAATTCACACCGCCGGAAAAAAGTATGGCCGTCTCAATTATTTAGTTTATTATTAAATGTACTGAAAATGAAAGAAAGGAACTAAATATATGTATATATCGTATGCCTCGGTAGCTGCGAATGTACAAAGAGAAGGTTCAAAGCTCTCCTCCCGGACGCTTGGTTTCCCGCTGCTTCCAGTCTTTATGCTAAGCTACGCTAATCGCCTTAAGCTCAATCCTTAACACACAGAACAACCCAACTCTCCACAAGCAAGCATATATTTATAAAAACTGGTGATCATTTCTGATGGTAGTCGGCAAAAGCGCACATCAACACACGATTCCTGTATTCCAGAAATTCCAGAAACGATTCCAGAAATTCCCATAAAACCTTTTTGAAATGGAAACATAACGACTGTCACTTCCTGGAGCCTGCAGGAGCAAAACAGATATGATTGCACGCTTTTGAAAAAGAAGTGACGCCACAGTCTTCACCTTAGCTCCCTCTTCCTCCTGTCACAAGGAGAGGCGAGCTCCTTCACACCTCCTGTAAAAGGCCCGGGGGTGTGATGTTCTCAGATTGTAGTGTTTTTGTTAACACCTCTTGCTCAGCTTTACTGACACCGTGTTCTACAAATTCCCTTCAGCGCTGCAACCCTCTCATTACAAGTGTACCATAGGTCTTTTTCTGGCTCAATGTGTCAGGTTTTTTGTTTGATTTCATGCCTTTTAATAATGCCTCTTATCTCTACTATCTGGATCGCTCTTTTTAAAATGAACATGATGGGACTCTTTAAGATCAGCCTGTTAATTCTATAAATTTCTTTCAGGAGATGCTTTTGTTTGGGGTTTGACTGAATCAATACCTTTTCACAGCGCATGCCGCCTACGCTGCCCATGTTTTTCCATCTGCATCTTGTTTTTTAGTGCGTTCAGGAGGACGGCCGCATCTGCCAGCTCCTCCTGCATTAACAAGCTTGTGGGGAAAATAGGTAGATTTATGGTGAAAAGGCAGAAAGAGGGCGGGAGAGAGCGGTAAAAGAAAAGCAGAGAGGGGCTGTTAGCAGAGGGAGGAGGAGAGTATGGGCTGGAAATACAAAAAAACCAAAAGGGCAGAAGAAAAGAGAGACTGTTTGACTCGCGGGCTGACTCCATTATGTTTTGTAAGAGAGTGCATTGTGCTGCTGCAGACTCTCTCTGAATCGCCAAACTCAGTTAATCATTGTTGAAGCGGCACAAAAGGCAGGGAAGGGTGGGGGGGGCGTGGCCGCATTTTGTGTGTGTGTGTGTGTGTGTGTGTGTGTGTGTGTGTGTGTGTGCGCACTCTGCCTGGCAGGAAGGGTGACACTTGACCCCGTTGCTCCCCTCTTTTTGGTCCATTCAAGCCGCCTGGTTGCCATTATGAAGTGAAATTAGCTCCCTGTTCTTCGCTCACAAACCCCTCGGCCTCCCCCCTCAGCCCCCCCAAAGGTCACGACTCGCACCCGAGTATTTTGCTCCATTTTTTGTCATCCTTAATGAGGTGACATGCAACGCAATTGTGCTGGCAAAACATTTCACACATCCCTCTCTCTCATGGTATTTTCACTTGTTTAAAAGGGGGGGGGGGGAGCAGCCGGCGCGTTTAGCTTACAAGCTGTGAATGGACGGGACGGGAGGATGAAGGGGATGAGGAGCGAGGCGGCGGGTGGAGGAGCAATCACATGACGAAGCTTAAGTCGAAGACTTGAGGTATTTTCCCACCGTGGCTGAAAATGTGTCTTTGTATCCAAAAGACACATTTTAGTGTTTTTCTGTGAAAGAGGAAGTTAAAATGAAATGGAACGTCTGACTTTGATTTGTTTGTTTTTCAAAGAGCAGGAAACCCCTGAGAGGAAAATGTGTTTTTGTGGAGCAGGAGAAAGAGATTGATTGACGGGGGGGAGCAGCTGGAGGAAAAATGACGAGCCATACTGTCGCATCATTTCACTCCAAACCCACCTGCTGCTCCGTTAACGTGCGATCCGACAACAACAGACTGCATGACACCGCTCCGATCAGAGAGAGGTGAAACAACGCGACTGACCGACAGATGGGACACCTGTTGAGATTATTGCGTTGGTAATGACCAGAACGACTACATTTTAATCCCGTTTAGTGAATAAAGGCTACAGACTGTCATGTGTTAAACAGAGTTGTAGTCAAGACCACATAAACCAAGACCAGGGGGGTATCAAAACAGAGACAAGACAAAGACTTTGAGGGGTTGAGACTACGTCAAGACCAGAGTCCCACTCTGCATGATGCACGCAAACCAGAGTCACTACTGAAATGAACCTGAAAGATCCACATTCACACAAAGACGCCCACAGAAAACAAAAGATTCCTCTTCATTCACTTCTTTTAGCGCCATATATACTGAGTGTGTGTGTGTGTGTGTGTGTGTGTATATAAGTGTACCATGAGAAATGTTTTGACAGAATCATCAAAAGGTGGCGAACTTTACGTGTTGCGCTTTGGTGTTTCTATGAGCCATCGGATGAATCGGACAATGCACAGGCAGTTGTGGTCCGAGTCCTCTTCGTCTGAGACCCGAAACCGAGCTCGAGTACTGGTGTTAAAAGATAAAAGTTAGATGAAAAGTTTGGATCGGATGCTTTGTCTATACATATTTCTAATTATAGATTTGTGTTTTGGTCGCTCGTGTTCAGATTAAATGAAACTCTGATGCATTTGAGAAGCTCGACTTGTTTTGTTAAGTCAAACAAGCTTTTTGTAGGAAAAGCTTCATTCCTCACAGCAAGTCATCTGTGCAAAGAAATGCAACATAAACTGCAATCTAGAGCTGAAGAAAATGGCGAATTAATCAGAAATGCAACTTTGTTTTGATAACTCTAATTGTTAATCAAAAATCGAGCACATTTCCTACTTTCAGCTCCTCAAATGTTAGCATTTGAGGCTTTTCTTATATTCATGTGACAGTAAACTTTATATCTTTGGGATAGTTTATCGGACAAAAAAAGATGTCAAAAACATTTTAATCAACCATATAATTACTTGATCAGCAAAAGTCTGGAAAATAATCATTAGTTCCAGCCTTAATGTTATCAAGAAGCTCACCCAGACATTTTGGTCTCATTCACCGGGTGAGGTTACCAGAGGGGCCAACTCGGTGTGTGGTGCATTAAGTGTGGGCTGGCCCTGTTTAAGTGCCATGTGAAGCATTATTAAGTGCTGATTTCACAGTGGCCATGTCTGTGCTCCACTCACCTCGGCTCTGAAATAGAAAGAGGCCTCCCAGACTGTGAAAAAAGGTCCTTATTTAAAAACTGGGTGGACCCATGAAGAAGGGTCCCACCCACCCTCGCAGGCCAAAACGTCACGGCCAATTTGTTAACCACAATTGATTCTGCACGGTGGATGCCACCGCGAAGGCTCCGCACATCTCTGACCCAGACGAGAGGCTGCATCGATGCCATTTTTTAGAAAATGTATTTTTAAAGATGCAGAAGCACCGGCATGACAAAGTCTTTCAGTAAGCCGAGCACAATGAGCTGAGCGGGCGCTGTCGCAAGAAATGTAGAAGTGGTTTCTCATATATACACGACCGCCGAATCTAATTTCACTTCCCTTCGCCGAGTGCTGAGCATGACGCTGCATTCCTCCACCAAGTTCAGTTTCTGAGTGTTTATTTACATGTAATTAAATTCTGCAGTAAGTTTTAATAAGCAGGCCGTCCCCCCCCCCCTCAGTATGGCCTCTGGGGAGTTTTGTGACCAGGTCATCTGTTTTTTTGAAGCAAAAGGTCTTTACCGTGTGCGCCTGCAGCAGGGACGCTGTTCCCTCAGATGGCAGCCTTCAAAGCAACTCAGAGAGGTGTGTGTGTGTGTGTGTGTGTGTGTGTGTGTGTGTGTATTCTGGCCAAACTCTCAAGATCACACAGTTGTTTGTGTGTGAGTATGAATATGAGTTCTCTGTGGATGCACAGCATGCGTATGTGTGTGTGTGTGTGTGTGTGTGTGTGTGTGCGCGTCCCTCTATTCGTCCTCATCCCCCCCCCCCCTCAGGACAGAGTCGCTGGCATGGGCCAGGCTTTGAACCTGCTTCTGTCGTGCTCTCTAATTGTGGGGAGCTCCCCCCCCGGGCCTCGGCATGTGTGCAGCTGTGTGCGCCGCTGCCACCGCTGTGCCATGACGAGCTCCTCCCTCCCTGCAGCTCCTTTTACTGTAAGGTGTTTTTAATTACTCGTCCCTCCCTCCACTCCCTATCTCGCCTTTTTTGTGTGTGCCGGGTGAGCTTCAGAAGTATTTATTTATTTTTTCAACCCTCTCATACTCCTGTTTCTGCAGCCTGCGTGTTATCCCGCCTCTTATTTTTCTTTTCTGTGTATAATTCGAACTATTTTTAGATTCCCCCCCCCCCCCCCCCCCACCTCTCTTCTTGAATCATTTCTCTTTTCGTCTTGGACTCCCTCTTCCCTCCCCGATGCACATTTAGTTCATTCATTGCTCGGTGGAG